CCTTCCTGTGTGCATCGCTTGTGATGCTTCTCCTTATGGGGCGGGTGCTGTACTGAGCCACCTCAGGGCTGATGGAACTCAGGTTCCTGTTGCATATTACTCCAGAACATTGTCTTCTGCTGAGCGCAACTACGCTCAGATAGACAGGGAGGCTCTGGCTGTTGTTGCTGGAATTAAAAAATTCCATGATTTTCTATATGGCAGGCATTTCATGGTCTTCACTGACCATAAGCCTCTGCTGGGCCTGTTTACCACACATAAGCAGACTCCCCAGATCATTTCCCCCAGAATGCTTAGGTGGTCTATTTTTTTTGTCTGCATATGATTTTTCTTTACTCCACAAGCCTGGGAAAGAAATGGGCCATGCTGATGGCCTCAGTAGATTGCCTCTGCCAGTAGTAGAAGCTGACCCTGCGGCAGCTGTCAACATTCTATCAATCCAAGCCTTGCCCGAGCTCCCTCTTAGTGCCAGGGATGTTGCCGTTGAAACAGGTACAGATCACACACTTTCACGTGTTCATTCCTGGGTTTTGTCTGGTTGGCCTGAGCACTGCCCTAGTCCTGAGTTTCAGAGTTTCTGGTCCAAAAGGAACGAGCTGTCCCTTTCTCAGGGTTGTCTGCTTTGGGGAAACAGAGTTGTCATTCCCACCTCAATGAGGACTAGGGTCTTAGAATCCCTCCATGAGGGTCATCCTGGCATTGTTCATATGAAGGCTCTTGCGCGCAGCCACTTGTGGTGGCCTAGTTTAGATAAGGATATTGAGGCTAAGGTGCATGCATGCCACCTGTGCCAACGATCTCGCCCAGAGATGCCCCAAGCTCCTGTGCATAGATGGGAGGAAACACAGTCCCCATGGTCTAGGGTGCACATTGACTACGCTGGGCCCTTTCAGGGCCAGTTCTTCTTGGTCCTTGTTGACAGCCATTCAAAAGGGCTTGAGGTTGTACCTGTCTCATCCACCACCACTGCAAAGACTATTCAGGTACTGAGGGGGATTTTTGCTGCACACGGGCTTCCAGATGTCATTGTGTCTGACAACGGCCCTCAATTCACTTCCTCCGAATTCCAAGCTTTCTTACAGGCTAACATGATTCGTCATGCCACGTCTGCGCCCTTCCACCCGTCCACCAACGGTATGGCTGAACGTATGGTGCGCATCACGAAGGACGTATTGAAAAGACTCACCTACGGGGACTGGCATCACAGGTTGGCTGACTTTCTCCTTTCTTATCGCACCACACCGTCCACTTCTACAGGGAGAAGCCCAGCTGAACTTCGTTGGGGGCGTCAACTTACTACTAAACTTGACCGGTTGCATCCGGACAGACTGCCTTCATCTACCTCACATCCTAGGGCATCTAGACAACTACTTGTGGGTGCCCCGGTTTGGGCTCGCAATTACGGGCCTGGTCATACATGGGTCCTCGTTTCTATTTCCAAGGTCACAGGTCCTCTCTCCTACGAGGTAGCTCTGGACAACGGTCGTGTCCTGCGCCAGCACATCAACCAACTTCGCCCTAGGCAGGACCTTTCAGATGAGACTCCTGGGTCTTTTCCAGGGGGGAGGGGGACCCTTTGGAGCAAAGGGAAGGGCACGAGTTGCTGCCCATCTCCACTGATGGAGCCACTGACGGCCCATTTCAAGTTTCCGCAAGTGCTCCGAAAAGGAATTCATGGAGCTTACCCACACAACAGGCACTCACGCCTACTCCAGCCAGGGAGTCACCCCGGGTGCATACTCACTTTCCACACACATCACACAGCACTCCAGTAACGGAGGATACCCGGGGGCATCCCAACAAATCATTCCCCGCAAGAGAGCTGGCACACAATCCCCAGAGTTGGCCTGACCTTACCCCTAATCCTACAGGGGGTCAAACTTACAGGGAGGTGGTTGAGGAACCAAGTCCCGACCGCAACACCTCTAGCCCAAATCAGGGAGTAACTGAGTTTTGGGAAGGTACAGAGACCCACACGAGCCCGGACACAGAATGGGGCTTAGGGATTGGACAGCCTCCTGACAGGTCTTGGACGGACCTAGGAGGTTCTATAGAGACACCCAGCAGTGGCTATCACTTCAAGGGGCCCGAGGGCCTACAGCTAGGCAGGTCAACCAGGTCACAAAGTGACAGAAGCCCTGGCCTGACGAGCCCGGTGGGCGAGCAAGCAGGCCAGGCATTGGGGCAAAGTCCTTGGAAGGCGCCAAGGCATGATAAGGGGAACAGGCTCTTGTCACCCCTTAGTCAGGGAACACCTGTCAGAAACCCAGAGCTGAGAAGGTCACAGAGAGCAAGGAAGCCTCCTAAATACTTAGAGGATTACATAACATTGCTGGCTAAACAAAAGCCAGGTAACGGCAGGAGCACTGAGAAGCAGAACACTGCATAAAATAATGATTATATGTTGGTAGTAGTTTTAGCCCGGGGGAAAGGGGTGTTATGTCCCGAGCCTTGCAAATGGCTCAGGGCGTTTGCAGGCGGTCCCGGGCAGGTGCAAAGCTGCCCGGGACCAGACAGGCTGTCGCCAGCGCCATGCGCATGCGCGGGTGCTGGCGTGGGAAAAGTATCGCATTGACCCGGGAAATGTCTATATAAGAAGCTGGGAGGTTTTGGGAGCTGCTGAAGCCATCTACTTGTAAGCTGAACACAGAATAAAGAAAACTGAGAACTACAACTGCTTCTCGTGTCTGTTTTCCGCCAAGGACTCAACACTCACCACTCTCTGCACCGCCTTCCTGTCTGAAGCAGTGATGCTTCTAAACCGGACTGTGATGCTGTATGACAGGATGCTCTCAATCGTCCCTCTATAGAAAGTGATCAAGACAGGGGAAGGAAGATGTGCTTTTCTCAAGCAGGTGCTGCTGTGCCCACTTCACACAAATCAACAGTATCTCACTGTTGATTTGGAATTTCTACAACCACCAGTGTCTCCCCTGGCACCCCAGTATTCCCCACTGATTACAGAACTGACCATATCTTGTCCCTAGTCTGCATTTTACGGTCTGCAGTTTTTCTGCCTGATCACATCCAGCCTACATGAATTTTATTGAATTTCCTTTCATCCTTTTTAAAAGGAGGTTTCATGCAACCAAGCAAACATTGATCAATCTCTGGTAAATTTGCAAAGGTAACGCCTCATCGATAGCATTTTATTAGCCAATTGGTTTCCTAAAAATATTATCTCCCCCAATCATGGAAAATAATACATCCTACTAGTCTGATAAAATTTGAGTGTTGTGTAGGTATTTCAGCAAAACATTATTGTATGTCCACACAATAAGAGCTGAGTTACTGTAAAGATCCCCAATGAGGAAATCCTGACAGAGTTTAGATGAAATGTAAGGAAGTTGTAGACATTTAATTAGGTTTTCTCTGCTCTGAGAGTTTAAGATTGCACTTCAAATGTTCTGTTATGTACCCCATTAGGTTGTTTAGGTAAACAATACTGAATCACTTCTATTGTTTTGGCAGTTTGCTGCCCCCTGTGTTAGAAGTAGCAATCACATGGCAAAAAAAGTAACTAATAGTAAGTACTGTGTAATCTCTTGGTTGCCTCATAATAGAAAGTGGTCTTTTATGCACTGCCAAAGAAGAAATTAATCTCTGCTGAAATAGGTTTTTTTTTCCTGTAGGGATTTGTTCCTTTTCTAGTAAGTGCCACTGCAGGAACTACGGTATATGGAGCTTTTGATCCGCTTATAGCTATTGCTGATATTTGCAAGAAGTATAAGATATGGATGCACGTGGATGTGAGTATGAAATCTTCAAGCATCGGATTGTAAATCCAGTACTGGGTCTGCTGGTGGGGATGATAATGCAGGAGCAGAGGATTTAACTGTGCCTAGGCTATATTGCTTCATGTTAAAATAAACTTCTTAACAGAATCTTTGGAACATTGAAAGGATTTCTGTTTCTCAAAGATAAGAGGATGCTCTAAAGATGGTGAACCATTTGATGTGCAAAGATATACTATCTTATGTAGACTTTATGCTTAACTACTTAACTCTGATAGATAAATCAATCCTGCACAAAACAAAACAACTTATCTGTATCCACAATGGTACGTTACACAGACAGAGACAGAGACAGAGACAAAGACAGAGACAGAGATAGAGATAGATTTTTACAGTGTGTATATATATATATATATATATATATATATATGGAATATCTTTGTGCTGAAAGATTTATTAATATTTTAAAAGGCATTCAAACTAGTTCCAATATATGCTACAGTATTACTGGAAAACTGATCAAAATCTACCCTTGGCAATTCACGAAGTTTTAATTGCTTCCCCAAATAAGTAAAAAGCTGTTAATAAATGATTCACATATTTAAATATGTGAATGTTATGTTTTCGAAAATCTGAACGATTATTTAATAGAACTGATGATTGCAATCTACTTTTTTTCCAGGGAGCTTGGGGTGGTGGGCTGCTGATGTCAAGAAAACATAAATGGAAATTAAATGGCATTGACAGGTATGGCTTTTAACAGTATTATGATATGTTTCTCATACAGTGCACAATGATACCAGGAAACTTCAACCTGGCAAAAATTAAACAGATTTAACTTATGCTTGAAATAATTGTCTAGGAATTTTTTTTTCCTGGTAGGCATTCTCCAACTTTTAAAGCATCAATTCCAATAATTTTCATATATTACGTTTTTGGGCCAAGCAAGTTAAAGTACCCTTGAAATATCGGCAGTTGGATCAGGTGTCAAGATTGATTTGCACTTTCACCTATATTCTGCTTCACTGGCAGCTTGATAAAGAAAAGGGAGGAGGTGGGATGAAATGCAAGGGTGGGGGAGGGGCAATTGTAATCTGAGAGAGTGCTTCAACCCAAGGACACATTGAGCAGGTGGACCAACATGGCCGCTGGTTTCCATAACAAAATGAAAAGAAGTGATTGATGGACGTAATGGACTGTGAATGGCCCATAGGGAAAAAGGGGAATTAACTATAGTAGCTTTTGCACAGGAAACCCAGAGCTGGTTTCGCTTTGTCTGTGCCAATATAGTTTATTCAGTAAAGTTTATATTCTTGGTAAAATAATGTCCCAGGAATTTCTTTTTCTGGATCTGCCAATTGGACAGTTGACATCAAGGAAGTCTGGTGTAAAATGCTTACATAACAGGGCATTTGCAAGAATTACAAAAAAAAGTCTAGATGGTGACCAGTTGAGATTAAAGACTCTTCCCGTTTTATATGTACCAAGCATGCAGCATTCATAACATGGTGGGGGAGAGGTTGATTGCACAACCGTGGACTCTATTGTGATACCACCCAAGCCCTGATTATATTATTGTATCTTTGCCTATTTGTTCTTTTTCAAAAAAAAACCTGAGGATTTGGAGATGATTTTTTTTCATTAAAGTATGTATGGAAGTGAAATGAGAGTGCAGGAAAGGAGCAAATTCAATTTTAGGTGACAGAAGACCTGAATATTGTTTATCACATAGACATGCACATGCACACATACACACAGGCACACACAAACACATTCACACATACACACACTTTAAGCTTTATTCACCTCTTCAAAACGATCCGATTTTGTTTTAGGTTCCTTTCATATGTATGGAGTAGCAAAGAATAGCATTATATATTAACATGATCAACCTGCATGTTTCAACTGTAAATATGAGATTTGCTGAAAGTGCGTACAAAGCATTAAGAATTAAGAATTTCCGGATGATGCCTCTGTTTTCATTACTTAACGTGTAAGGATTTAAAGTTTATAGAAGATACTTATTTTAATGCTTACTGTTTTTTCTTTTTGTTTCAGGATTTATATTTACAGGAAAATTGTGTTGTTCATTTAAAAGCATCTAAGCAATTCTTTCATCCAAAAGGCTAGGTCACAAGGCCAAAACTGGAACTCAATCTAAAACAGAATGACAATATAAAATTTACATTGACATACAGATTAATTAAATGTTCCCCTTTTGTTTTCTTATGAGTTCTATATTGTACCTATAGGTTTTTCTTTCAACTTATTTTAAATATTCTTTATTTTACCTTTAAAAAAACATAATTGTGAGTTCTGTACTACACAACCTGGATTTAATCAATTGGATATGCAGTCCAATGCTTCTTATGAATATTCAGAAATATGTACATAATTTCAGTTTACTTTTTTTGTGAGTGATGGGTCTCATCTCTTTCCCCAACTGTTATGGGATTCTTTAGGAAAGATACGGTATATGAAAAAGGGTGTTATAGGCATGTAATATATTTTGAAAACTACAAGCCAAAAATATATTAGTTATACAGAAAGTTATTATCTCTTCCTGTTGGAACTCTGTGTGAGCATTAGGAATCTAATCTAAGCAATAATTAGTGAAGTAGATGTTGAAACCACAACAGAAAGGAGATTTTTAAAGGAAAATGCATTATAAAAACAAGGACTTTCTTCTTTCTTTCTTTCTTTCTTTCTTTCCTTTCTTTCTTTCTTTCTTTCTTTTTCTTCCTTCCTTCCTTCCTTCCTTCCTTTCTTTCTTTCTTCTTTCTCTTCCTTTCTCTCTCTCTCTCTCTTCCTCCTTCTTCCCTCCCTCTTTCCCTCTCCCTATCTGCCTCCAAATTCTGGACATGACTCTGTAGTTTTCTTGACAAGATTTCAGAAATAGTTTGTCCTTGCCTTCTTCCTAGGGCTCAAAGAGAGTGACTGGCCCAAGGTCACCTAGCCGGCCTTGTGCCTAGAGGAGAATTAGAACTAAGGGTGGCCCAGTTCTTCTTGCCTGGTGTCTTAACTACCAAATTGTCCCTGGGGACAGCCTAGCACCTAACAGCATCCTATCAGAAGGAGACTCAAAGAGAAGAAAGTGACTCTGAAATTAGCAATCTCTTAGGCAAAGACTAGGATGTAGGGGAAGAAGAGGCAGCGCCTGGGGGCAGAGTCAAAAGAGGGATAATCCTAGAAACCCTACATAGCCACAAGTGTGCTAACTCCAATCCACCATGAATTCTGTTGATCCTTGTTTAATTTCTAGTAAGTGCTAACCATTAGTTGAGAATATTCCTGTGCATAGGCATTAGCAATAAAATTGTTTAATTAAAACATAATGTGTAGTTCTGGTCTTTCGCATCTAAGATTGGCAGAATAACAAAGACAGAACATTGAATAAATCCTTAATATTATATCTGTAGCTTGTAGTTAGTGGTTCATGAAGAATCAATGACACTGAATTCATACTTCCAATATTTCCAGGACATTTCTTTAGTTATACTGTTTAATATGTTGACTGCATATTTTGCTTCACTAAAGTTTGCTTCACTACAACTGTCTGAATTTATAGTTCAAGCCTTAAACCATGGTTGGAACTCTAATGGTTGCATTTACTCAATCTACTAAACCACATATGGGTTAATTACTTAATTGCTTACTTTAATGCATGGAATACATTATTCCATATTCTATATTTCCTAATACTTTATAGGAGCATATGAACAATCTTTAGCTGATCCTGGGTTCTTGCTTTGTTCCCTCTTCTACATGTTAATAAGGAAACTGGAGGCATTTGTTTTAATGAAACTATGTTTAAGCCGAATTAAGCCAAACTTTCAAATCCTAAGTAATTCAATTAAACATATTTTAACAACTCCAATATTCCAGGTTTAGATAGTGGAGAGCTCAGAAGTAGAAGGTTCTAAATTATTATTTTTCCAAGGTAGCAGGAAACAATGGTGTGTAATGGATAGCAACACGCAAATCAGTATTTTAGCATTACATACAGTATTTCAGCTTTTACTTAGCTTCTCACTGAAGCTAAGATAATATATAGGTTCATTATCACACATCCTAATGATTTAATATTATCCACCTTCCAGAACTAATGTGAAACATAAATATAAAATGCTATTAGATATGCTTTCCTCCTCAAAACAAAACAAAAACAAAACAGATGATACAGATGTGAAACTTCAATATATCCTCTGCTTATTGTGAAACCTAAAACTGAAATATTGTACATGTTTTATCAACCTGTTGAACCAATATTAATAATTATCTTCTAAAATGTATGTAAAGATGAATCAGAAAACAAACAGTATGGAAAATGAAAATGCTATAGGTAAATATTAAAATTCTGGTTTCAGATAATGAGGAAGTTTATTTTTAGCGCTATGATTGATGTCCCTAATCTTTGTGTTAAATACCAAAAAAAGATTGTCTGCAAATCCAATTAAGTTGAATAGAAGTCTGATGGTGACATCAAATAATTATGTTGCCTATTTTTTTCTTCTTTATTTAAAAAAATGCTTATTTTCAGTCTTATTGCTTTTGACCTTATTAAAATCCTATTACATTTTATATTTGCTTTTCCATCTGAGTTTCTAAGATTACAGTCTTTGATCATTTCAAGAATAGAATAGAATAGAATAGAATAGAATAGAATAGAATAGAATAGAATAGAATAGAATAGAATAGAATAGAATAGAATAGAATAGCAGAGTTGGAAGGGACCAATTCTGGGATCTAATCCAACCCCCTGGTCAGGCAGGAAACCCTATACTATTTCAAACAAATGGCTGTCCAATCTCTTCTTTAAAACTTCCAGCTTTGGAATATTCGCAACTTCTGGAGGCAAGTTGTTCCACTGATTAATTGTTCTAACCTTCACTTCCTTTTAAAGTTTGGTTTCTGTTCCAGAGCAAATTCCGTGACGTGGAACCCACACAAAATGATGGGAGTTCCTCTGCAGTGTTCTGCCTTGCTTGTACGCGAAGAGGTGAGCCTCTAAAATTTTGGATAATGTCTTGTTGCCTTCAAACTTTTGCCTTTTCATGTGCTTATTACAATTGTGAGAGCTGATACAACCAGTTGTAATTAAGATAACATCTGAAATTTAAAAACAAAAACATTAAATGACTTTTAAATCCAAAATTAGAATAAGCTTCATAATAACTGTCCAGTAGGGGAAAGGCATATATAATTAAAGGCCCAGAAGGGATTTTTGAAGTCTTTCAGTCTAACCTCCTGCCCAAGGCAGAAGTCCTTATTCCATCCCAGACAAATGGTTGTCCAATCTTTTATTTAAATCCTTTTTGTATTTAAATTATTTTTCATAAAAGAGGAGTAGGACATTGCTTTAGTGACTTTGATCCACACTTTATTTAGAATAGACAACCCAAGAATACCACTTGTGTGGAAGTGATAAAGACCCAAAATTCTATATCCACAATAGATTCCAGTGAGAAGCCCATAAATAATTTACGAATGCAATAAGATTTCTTAGACTCCCTAGACTAGAAACCCTACATAGCTATTCATGCCTGGTTTCATTGAATGATCCCACAGATATTGATATTAACAAACTACTCCACTTTCCAGATTTTGCATAATTGTATTCACTTTTGACGTGGTCCCTGTACCTGCCTTATTTGTAAACTTCCAAACACTATGAGAATTTTTCTTGAAGAGTTTCTTCAGCTTCTCAATCATTTTGCCTGCTCTTTTTGGTATCTTTTCCAACACAACAAGTAGCTCTTTAAGATGCAATAAATCAGAACTATGTAGAGTGTTATTATTTATTTTTAAGGGGCTGATGCAAAGCTGCAATCAAATGCATGCTTCTTACCTCTTCCAACAAGATAAGCATTATGATCTCTCTTATGATACTGGAGACAAAGCATTGCAATGTGGACGCCACGTTGATGTCTTTAAACTATGGCTGATGTGGCGAGCAAAGGTAAGCACTTTGATGATGTTTGTGGGGATAAGAGTACCTCAAACCAGGGATCTCAAAATGCAATAAGGAAAAATGTAAAACTTCAGAGATAGCAATAGTACTTAGACTTATATACCACTTCACAGTGCTTTACAGTCCTCTCTAAGTGGGTTACAGGGTCAGTATATTGCTCCCAACAATCTGGGTCCTCATTTTATCAACCTTAGAAGGATGGAAGGCTGAGTCAACCTTGAGATGTTGAGGATTGAACCTGTGGCAGTGAGCTGAAGTAGCCTGCGATACTTCGTTTTAACCACTGTGCCACCATGGCGCAGATAAGACCAGGTCTGCTAATTTCCTTGGAATATTTTATAGTGGAGTGCTTGGAACATCATTGATAATGCTACTTATTTGGAATATGCTGAGAAGATAATATATATTGCTCTATATATAGGAGGTACATCCAGGTTTACCTTCAGCTAAACTATTTTCTTGATTTCCATTTCCTGATTTCTTTGACTCATGCTCCATCTCCAAATTCCCATCAGGGTATTTCTTGAAAGGGAGTGTTTCTGTAGTAGGGAACACTTTGAGCCCTAGGTCCTCATACAGTCCCAACCCTGTTTTTGCAGTCCCAAATTATAACTGCATAAAATGGAAGCCAAGATTTCCTGTTAAAGCAGAAAAACATAACAACTCTAATGTATCTTCTGAAATAGATGCAATGAAAAAGAAATTGGCAAAAGTGCTGAGGAGGGATTATAGGTCTTCCTATATATGTGTCATATCATCACCCTGCCCATCACCTACTCATGTTACTAAAATATTTATACCTAGCTCTAGACCAGGAGTCCCCAACTCCCGATCTGTGGGCTAGTACCGGGCTGCGACATGCCAGCAACTGGTCCGCACAAACAAGCAAAGCCCCATCCACAGAATGCAGGCAGCACGCAAAACCATACACCCTCCAGTCCGCAGAAAAACCTCTCTCCACAAAACTGGTTCCTGGTGCCCAAAAGATTGGGGACCTCTACTCTAGACCATGATCATGCCAATGTTTCTATTGGTTCCATTTAAATTTTCAAGCATTTTTATGTTCTGGCATGTCCTTCTGCCTATTCCTCCCCTTGTCCTACCAACACATGATTTTTAAAAAATGGTCAAGGGAACATTTTGCTTCCATCTCCATCATGCTTTGGACAAATCGACATTGTTGGTTGCTAGGCAACCCTTCTTAGTCCTTCTGCACTGCAGCTTGGAGGTAAACTTGTGCAATGTCTTACATAAGACCTCTGTTTCTTTAAGAAGCAAATAAGAGAAGAATGCTGGGAGTAATCAACAAACAATGATATAAAAACATTTACATTTCTCCAGGTAGACACCCAGAAAGTGGGTGTCACTTTCAAGCTTAGAACATTTGATGTCATGCAATTATGGCTTGGCATCCAGCTCTTGCTAGTTGGGAGTGTAATTATGATGCTCTAATGAAATCAAGCTAAAAGCTTTTGGGAAACAGAAAGGATTTTGTTGTAGGAATTCTTAAAACTAGATGTGGCAAACTGTGATGAAAACACCTGCTTCCGCTTTAGGCAGCAATTAAGAATAGGCACATTATTGATGTAGAGAAACAAATTAAAAATCTGTTCTTTTCTGGGGCATATTTGTAAGAAACCTCAAAGGACCATCTCTTTGGCCATTTGAAAAGGAGTTGCCAAATAAATATTTCCTGCATAATGATTCCAATTTTTCTGGCATGAGTTGTCTAAAAAATGATTCATTATTGTAAACAGCAATAAATAAATAAGTAGTGTTTGTTATAGAGATCTTTGTTCCATCTCTGTTTATTCCAGTATCCATAAATCATTCCCAACACAAATTAAATCTGCCCTAATCTGCTATACATACTATCTGCATAGTGAAGAAAATTCAGCATAGTGTTATCATTGTTCAGCTTGAGATGATCTTTTGGGGTGGTCTTTCACCTTAAGACAAGTCAATCAGCATTCATTTTTCTGGAACAGAGGTGTCAAACTACCAGCCCAAAGCTGTGCCCACCCCATTGCCAGCAATGCAAAAAGAGTCGCAATACTTCGCAACATGTCATGTGACATGGCGAGTTTGACACCCATGTTCTAATAATAACTTTACCAATCATTGAGTTCACTCCTTCCAGCACTCAGTGAAATGAAATATATCATTTCCTCTCCTTCGTTATTTATATCATTTTATCTATTAATCAAATGTTCATCCCACTGTAATCAAAAGATTTTCAGCAGCTCACTAAAGTAAAAATATAATAAAGTATGAAAACATCGCCCTAGAACCAATAAAGTCCCAATACATGCATGACATCACACCCTAAAATCTTTCTAGAAAAGCTTTGTCTTCACCTTTATTTATTATTTATGTTGTTTTTATTAACTTAATTTAAAAAAGAGAGAGAGAAAGAACGAAAAGAAATCAGTAAACGGGGGGAGGGAAAGCAAGCACCACAAAAATTATGAATATAAGGACTTCTCATCTATGTATACACAATATACAATTTTGTGCAATGGTTAATTCTTGTGTTCTGTATAATTGTAATCCACATTTGTACATAATTCATCCATATGTCACAAGTAATTTCTGACCTTCAATTTACTGAGTAACTGGGCCATAAATATATTTTTTAATAATAGGAAGTAGAAGGACTATTCATATATGTTGTTGAGCTGTCAGTTTCCATATCACAAGTACCAACAGAATGTGGTCTTTGATCCACTTAATCCAAAGTAGGTTTTGCATACGCAGGTAGTTCTCATTTAACGCAAGTAATTGGGACCTTAATTTCCATTGCTAAGTGACATGATGATAAAGTGCAATATCAAATGATTCCACTACTTAGATGCAGAAATTTTAGCACTTCTAGTTTTTGTTAAGTGGAGTTATTGTGGCTGTGAGTTACTAAGCAAGGACATTGCCCAGTTGTCATTTGTGACCTCCTGTAATGGGATGCATGGGGGCTCTTGAGAAAAGAGAAGAGATGCTGCCTAAGGAATAATCAGACAAGAGGAGCAGAAGTCTGCAGTCTCTTAAAAAAATTAAGGAAGCCTCCCTCAATGTAGCTTTGTACTTTCAGACTTACAAGTTTCTATGAATGTACCTTTATAATAAAGCAGATTTCGTTTATCTTGTTGTGTTTCCTGTCTGGTTTATCCAGAAAGGCTTGCCTCTGTCTTACAGATCTGAAAGTACAAACTTACTCGCCCTCCACTTGTATCTGCTTGCTCCATTTTTAAAAAATTAGTGTGATTTGTATAGCCATTCTTGCTGTTTTTTTCTTTGCTTTATTCTGCAGGGCACCATAGGATTCGAAGCACATATTGATAAATGCTTGGATCTTGCAGAATATCTATATAACAAAATTAAGAACAGAGAAGGCTATGAAATGGTGTTTGATGGAAAGGTATGTTTTCAATTGTAGTTTTGAACAGCAGGTACAGTTTTAGCCGTCCATTATACTGGGCTGTACAGTGTGTAGGCACAATGATCTTTGAGAATGCACCAATGGATTCTCTTCCAAGTTATCATGGAAAAATTGTGCTGTTGGAGATTTTCCATCAGTATAGTAATATTTGTTTATTATTAATTGACATATTAATACACTTTCAGAAATTTAAAACTGTATACATCATATTCCATCCTTCAGTTTTACCCTCATAACTCCAAGATGTGGAATTATGACAATGTGACAATCTCAGAGCTTTGGCTTAGTGGGGGTATGAACTAAAATTTCTCTTATTTCTTGTCTAGCACTCTAACTACTGTTTGGTTACTGACAGATCTCAAAACTTATTCACAAGCAATTGTATCCTACACAAATTATTTGTGGGTTCTGGTGAGAGACATAGTACCATAGAAGTACTTGACAACTATGAGAATGTTTCTCTATTAATCTTCATGCTACAAGGAATCAGCACTAAGGTTTATGGTCATATATGTCTATACTTATACTGTATATGAAAGGTTTTCCAAAACATGCCAGATGATTGAAGACAGGTGATTCCTCAGATAACTAGGCCTTATGCATGATTACTTCCCAATGCTTAGTGGGCTAATTCGCTGGTTAGGGGTGGTGGTAGAAGTTCAAAGAAAGAAATTACATTTCAAAAAGTCAAATGCCATTGAGAAGTTAATTATTTCAGTATTTCTTTCATGCCCATCATTACAATATGTATAAATAAATGCTTTTATTCTCTAGCTCTGTCCCTCTGTTTCAAGAGGGATATCCATATTAAGTCTTCTACAGGATCACAATGGAGAATTTTATGAAAAAGAATACATACATCTGATGTAATGGGCAATGAATTACAAACACTTAGGTAAAAATAAATCAAATAATTCTAATGTATGATAAAATTATCCATTAGTGTGTTCCAGACTATTTTGAATGTGGATGTCACCTTCTTAAGAAAACAGATATTTGGAGTGAAACATGATTTCCCCAGCATAAGATGCAATAAATTTTAGTAGATGCATTGATTACAATGCTAGTGATTCTTACTCTGCTGCACCAAAGTCAATAAACAAAAAAACAACAACAACACTTCAACTGATCACAATCATAGGAAAGGCAACCCCAGGGACAAGTGAAAACACAGTGCTTACTTCCATTATTGTTCTTTTATTAGCCTCAACACACAAATGTTTGCTTCTGGTACGTGCCTCCCAGTTTACGGAATACAGAAGATAATGAAGAAAGAATGAACCGTCTTTCAAAGGTAAAAGGGAGTACAGTATAGAATAGAACAGAACAGAATGAAGTTTATTTCTGCTACGCAATTTTTAAGGACATCCATCTGTATCTGGATGGTGCTCACAATTATCAAATCTCTTCTAAATAGAGAGGGGACCCTTACTGGTTAATTAATCAGCATGCACAGTTTATGGAAAATTATGAAATGAAATAAATTATATTTCCATTACTCCCCAGCCCATTAGTGGCAATGGAGAATGAAGACAGAGATTTATAACTTTACAATGAAGTTTTGGGTTAAATTCATCTTGAAAGTATCCTGGTACTTATTCTACAAATGTTTGGTCTAAAATTCCTCAACCCTGGCCATTGAATAATTAAACTGAGGTTAGTGGGAGCTGAAGGTAAAACTTTTTAGGGGGCACAAGATTTCCTAACTTTGTGTAGATGTTATTGAAGCAAAGTCGTAAGTTTTGGTGAACTATGTTGAGCAGAGATTAGCAACTTGATGATCAGAGATCTTGGTGAACCTTGAAAAGTGTGTTAAAAATATTTTGACAACTCATATGAAAATGCTAAAACTTCATGAGAGTTTTTTCACATGATGTGAAATTTGACCCAAATTTTTTGAAATCTCACAGAAATGTTGGCAGTCTTCAGACCATTAACTTAATGGAATTGTGATGACCAGGATTATAAGAGATTGTCAACTTTTGTACTGAATTTTAGACTCTTGCAGGAGGAGGTCTTTCAGACTTGGTGATTCTCCGGAAGTGGGTTGCCATGATATGGTAACATATATTAATTTATGCACCTCAAAAAGCAGGTTGAATGAATTTGAAGAGCTCCTCATTCTGTTGAATAGTGTTGTACATACACCTCAAAGACCTTCCCAGAGTGCATCACTAGTTCAATCTTTTGTTTGGCCAAGAGAAGAATCAGAAGGACGCGACTGTGCAATATTGATTTTCATTCCATGTTATGTCTTTGAAGGTGGCACCAATAATTAAAGCTCGAATGATGGAATATGGAACCACGATGGTCAGCTATCAGCCCCTGGGAGACAAGGTCAATTTTTTCCGCATGGTTATCTCCAATCCAGCAGCAGCTCACCAAGACATTGATTTTCTGATTGAAGAAATAGAACGCCTTGGGCAAGATTTATAATCCTATAATCTGCCAGATCCTTCTGAAGTACCTCTAGGTAGACAATTAAGTTGTCACAAACTGTGGTGAATGTATTTGTAGTTTGTTCCAAAGTGATTCTCTTTCTATATTGTGGCATCAAAGTAGAGTAGAATTTAAAATCAAGAACATTGCTCCTTTTAAAAAGTTGTCTTCTCCCCTCTGAGTTTGCAAAAACTTGTTTTCCAGGAAGATAGTATATAAAAGGCTGCATTTTTGCATATCAAGCATACATATATATGTATTCACAATCTCATCCCTAAGATCCGTGTGATTAGTAAAAATAATTCCTTTTGTTAAAAATAGCCAATAGAACAATGGTTTCCAAATGGCCACAGTTTGTGGGGCAGCATAAAAACAAAATGCAAAAATTAAAACTGAGTAACTTTTGTCTTTTTTTTTTACTCTGTTAGAACAGAATTTCTAATTTACATGATACATTCAGATGTACTTAAATACATCTAATTTTACAAAAGAAATATATAAATATATAAATATATATATTAAAAAAGATCCTATTTTGTAAAATATAGATTTTTTTATTTTATATGGGTTCTAAAAACTGCAGGGACAAATAATAAATATAAGAATGAAATATTTTATTTTTCCTTAGATGAAATGCATCAAATGTTTAACAATGCTTCTTTTGAGACATATACCCACATAAATTCTTAAAAAAAAATGTTTGTTTTACATGTCCTTTTATCTTGTATATCTCCAGAGTCTAGTACTGCAGAACCTCAAGAGATATCTGTAACGTATAAGAAAACAAACTGAAAATAGTGAAATCACAAAATGCTGCTGTTCCTAATGATATTTCCCATATGATCTAGCTAAGTAGAAGCAAAATCTTTCCAGATGCTACCTAGAAATAAAATTAGGGTTGCATTTGGAGCCTTCTCCAAAAAAAAAAAAAAAAAGAGGTGCACTTCAGATTAATTAATTATACTACAGTATAATTCTCAGAGCCAGCAAATAAAATATGATTTTTTAGGATATAAAAAGGCCTTCCAATCTTCCATAAGGAAGTTCAAATAATAACAAAGATCCGCAGCAGGTTCTAAGGAATGGCAGTTGGACTTCTTGTAGAGATGTGAGTTTGAGAAGACATCCAGTTCTGTTGATCTCTGAAGGCAGCACAAGAGTTGGAAATAATTTGTACTTGCCACATGATATGTGTAGCTGCTGCTATGACCACATTTCCTTTCAGAGGCTGGCTGCTAATGTCCCAGGGGGTCTATGTGATTTTATGCATGTTTCCAAAACATTGAATCCATTTATTTGAAATTGGTTTCCCACATCTAAGCTCTTAGACGGTTCCTAACTATTTATGTCACTCTTAGAACTGGCCTAGCATAACAACTAAGATACTAAATATAAAGCAGAAAATATCTGTCCTGAATTATTTCTAATTTGTAAATGATTCAACCATGCTACTGGGTTTTAGGCTTAGCCCCTAACAATTGTATGGGAATATTACTACCAGCTTATCTTATATAATGTTAAGAAATTTCAAAATATAACAGAGTGCTATTTTAATATAAATGTGTGATTATTATAATCAGTATTCTTTCCACAGTTCATATACCTCTCTTAAGAAAACAAAATGAAGGTCCATCTAATTTTTGTGGATGCAAGATCAGCCATATTTCAAGCAGATTTCCTTGATGTGTTGCCCTCCAAATATTTGGGACTGCAATCCCCATCAGTCTTAGCCATTATGGCCAGTGGTTTGAGATGATGGATGCTGCATTAGAGAACATCATGAGGCTATTGAGTTGGGGAAGGCTATCTTGGAAGAAATGAAATCTGTCATTCCTCAGTTTCACATCCTGGAACAGTTTCCAGTTACAACCCTGTCTAAACATTGGGTTTTAGCTTTAACTAAAAAGCAACATGGCCACCTGGGTTTGTAAAGCAATATTGTTTTACACTCTCTCAAAATACTTGAAGATACAAATGCAATGTAATATGATTTTATTGAACACATATAACTTTGCGTACTAGTGACTCATTGTATACTTGCAAAGTAGGAAAAAAGAGATAAAACTGTGTCTGTAGTTATGCTGCCTTTTGAATGATCTTGCTATTTTTTTTCCACCTCATGCTGAGGGTTGCGCACTTTAGATTTCATACAGTGTTGCCAATTGACATATATTGCTGTATCAGCTTGTACAATATATTATGAATTGTTCTTATAAGTGTTTGGTAGCAGTATTGAATCTAGATATTGTAAGAACTTCATCCTTTCTAGTTTCTCTATTGCTTATTTGCTTTTGACCGTGATTCTATTTTGGCTGATTCGTAAAAATAGTGTTTAATTCTAGACATTAAAGCTTATGTACTGAAGAGTTTAAGAGCTCTTATAGTGTGATCTAGACCAGCTTTCCCCAGTCATGGATCTCTATGCAGATGCCAATGGACAATGTAGAACCTCCACACATAAGAGCATTCTCCCAATCAGCTCTATGTTATATTGGAAGGGGGAAGTCAGATCATCTTTATGGATCAGGATATTTGAATACCTATCAAACACTGGTGTTAATGCAATCTCTCTTCAGATGGTAATCATATAAATTCCACTGAAGTGAACAGACCATTGGGAGGAGCACTTTGAGATAATGGAGCAGTTCAATGGCTAGATTGCAAGTCACCACAAATGTTTCTGTTACAATCAAATGGAGACAGAATAGGGGTAGGAGAGATGGTGGCTTGTAGCTTGGATTGCCTCCAATTATATTTAGTCTAGATAAGAGTTTTGGTATTCAAGTCCAAGATCTACAAACGGTGTTTTCATATGAACAATTCTATCAGGATTTTCTTTTTCAAATTAATTCTGTCTGTTGTATCTGGGGGAAGTCCATGGCAACCTGTTCTTCCTGTATTTGATTAAAGTACTTTATCTGTGGTGTCATTCAGAACCCAAATAAAAGTGTAAAATGTGATAGTAGTTTTTCTCTAATGTCTATCCCCAGCTTTCATTATTGGTTTGAAAGTTCATAAGATCTAGTTGTATCTGTTACGCCATTTTTCAGCAAAAGTCATGAAGACAAACATGATTTCTTCCAGCTGTTCCTGCTAGCACGTCAATGCTAATCACTAGTGTTGGTGAGTCCTGAATTCTTAGTGATCAACACAAAATTAATAATATTTTATTATAAATCTTGAAAATCCCCTTGTTTGTACATAAAGTGGTTAACTTTTTATTACCTTATCAAAACAGATAGACATCCCCCCTTTTTTATAGACAGGTGTGTTTCTTCAACTGATAATCTTCCTCTTCAAATGTCTTTTTCAACAGGTGCCTAATATTGATAGAATACTTGACCAAAGATAGAGCTATATACATGGTTTCTCCTCCCAGGCTAGACTGTACAGCACTGACCCTGCCAGATTTATTGTTTCACTGCCACCACCACCACCACCACCACCACCACCACCACCATCATCATTATCATCATCATTGTCACCTTATGTTCAGTGGTGAGATTCAGCTGACTTGCACCAGTTCGGCAGAACCATTAGCTCAGTGGTTCTCAACCTGTGGGTTGGGACCCCATTTGGGGTCGAACGGCCATTTCACGGGGGTCGCCAAACAACGCAGTCCGCCATTTTTTTCCCCTTTTCCTTAGCTGTGCTACTCCCTTTTATTCTATTGGCTTTTGAAAGCCAATAGAATAGACTCTCTTGAATAGAGTCTAATTCTATTGGCTTTCAAAAGCCAATAGGAATTGTCCAGGCTGTCTCTGCCCTGCTGAGCCCGCCAAAAGTCCCATTCTGCAAACGGTGCTGCACCAGTTGAGTAGTCCTCGACTTACGACCGGTTGAGTAGTCCTCGACTTACAACCAGTTGGGGGTCGCGGCATTAAAAAGGTCGAGAACCACTGCATTAGCTGAATTTTGCTGCTTCCAGTAGTCCAGTCTAGGCCTTGGAGGCCTGGAGGAGGTCTCCCAGGCCTAGAGTGGCCTGCCGGAAGTGCGTGGATTCCACTTCCAGAAGTCTAGGCCTTGGAGGCCCAGTGCCTGCATTGAATAAGAGAACTGGTTGTTCAGGTATTTAATTCCACCACTGCTTATATTTCATCTTTATTTTTTCAGTGGTATCTCCACAACAAGACATCTGGAATGTAGAACACAATTGTACAACACACTAACCACTCTTGCTTTAAAAAGGGATTATTCAACCCGGTTTGAGAATTCATTAAATAAACTAAAGCACAAACTAACAGCATGGGATGAGTATGCAGTAATTTAATGCAGAATGCATTAATTTACAATATGGTTGGTGTTGAGTCCTCGAGTCAACGACGAAAGAAGAGCACACATCTTGATGGTTATAACAGCTTTTATTCTCTTCAGCTCTCTCCGACACAACTCGCAGGCCTCTCTGCCTCTAAATAGAATCCCCGGGCAAAAAGGTAATAAAGAATGGCGCGCTTTCGCGCCTTGCGCATGCGCGCAGGCTGGCGCCACTCAGTCTGGTCCCGGGCAGCTTGCAACAGCTTTGAATGCCCCTCTATGGGTTACAATAGTCTGTGCTTCAGCAGCAGCTTCATCAACAGGTAACTGTTGATAAGCCTGTGCCAGATCTAACTTTGCAAAAACATGCCCCCCTTTGAGGGAAGCCAAAATATGGCTGACTACAGGTACAGGATATGCATGCTGTTGCAATGCCTTGTTTAATGTGCATTTGTAGTCTGCACAGATGCGAATGTCCCCATTAGCCTTGAGAGGCGTAACTATGGGGGTTCCCATGGACTTGAATCAACAGGTTCTAAAATACCTTGCTGGATCAATTTATCCAGTTCAGCATCAATTTTCCCCTTAAGGGCAAAGGATATTCTCCTTGCTTTCACCCTAATGGGAGTGACAGTGGGGTCAAGTTTCAAAGAAACTGGAGGCCCTTTGTAATAACCCAGCTGTGGACTGAATACATCTGCAAACTCTTTGCAGACCTCTGTTATGCCTAACGTTTGCAAATTGTATAGCCAGTGTTGAGTCCTCGAGTCAACGGCAAAAGAAGAGCACACATCTTGATGGTTATAACAGCTTTTATTCTCTTCAGCTCTCTCCAACACAACTCAGAGGCTTGCAGGCCTCTCTGCCTCTAAATAGAATCCCCAGGCAAAAAGGTAACAAAGAATGGCGCGCTTTCGCGCCTTGCGCATGCACGCAGTCTGGTGCCACTCAGCCTGGTCCCGGGCAGCTTGCTACAGCCCGGGACCATTGCAACATCTCGAGCCTGCCTTTGCAGGCCCAGGACACAACAGTTGGCCTCTTCATGGTTCACTGCATTGTGTGGAGCCAGCCAATGTCTCAACCCTACTCATAGAGTAATCACTGACTCAAGTCAACAAGTGACTCCAAATACTGGAAATTATTGTATAGTGATTACCAGTTGCTGCAGAGTTCTATGGACAAACTACAATACTTGGGGTATGAGTCACTCTGCAGAGCAGTAAAAAGCAATGCTTATCCTCCATTTCATGGTCAGAACCCCAATCCACTTGAGTTTTTTTGGCCTCAGAGGGAGAAAAACCATAAGCCCATTATCCTACTTTATGACAGTAAAACTAAGATATTGTATGGCATTATTTTTAACTTCATGAAAAGTGTAAATGTCATACCCATTGTCTTGTCTAAAGGAATTTTCTTATTCTACTTACAACAGACTGCTTTGAGCTTTTGGAACTGATATAGGAATAACAAAAAGAAGCTTGGTGAACAGCTGGTACAGCTGGGAATTAAATAAGTAAATCAGTTGTTTTGGGTGGCTTGTTTTTGGGGGGGATAGAAGTGCTGGTTTGGGACTGGACCTAAATTAAACCAATATTATCTGAAGCACATGCACAGCCTTAATTGGCACCTTTTAGGATAAAAGGGTAGAAATCATTATAACTGTTTTGAAACAGCTTGGAAAAAAAGAGGGAAATTAAGGAAGTTATAAACGGAAGCATTAGCTGAGCAGTGACTCAGAGCCTTCTATCTTTGAGGCTCACCATCTGCTTGCTTTCCTCTCTTTCAAAGGCTCCTGCTGCCAAATACAATAAAAAGAGGAAAACAAAGCAATATTGACCACAGCCAGTCTAGCATATGAGACAGCTGCAGAATCTTCTTCAAACTGAATTCTCTGCCAGGAGCACACAACATCATGATGTTCAGTTGGCAAAGTGCTACTTAGTTGTAAACATACCTTGGCTCTGACTCAGATATCTGCCTGCATCAACCTGTCCCACCAATATGAGACATTGGATAGTGTTAAGTTCTTGAGTTAATGGCGAAAGACGAGCACGCATGTTGAAGCAACAACTCTTTATTTCTCCTCTACTGACTCCAATAACAACCTTGAGGCTCGCAGGCCTCCTCTTTTGTGTCCAGATTCCCGGGCAAATTGGTTACAGCTCATTGGCGCGTTTTCACGCCTCGTGTATGCGCGCAAGGCCAGCGCCGCTCAGTCTGGTCCCAGGCAGCTTGCAGCAACCCTGAGACCATTGCAATGTCCCGAGCCTGCATTTGCAGGCTCAGGACACAACAGATAGGATAACAGAATTGTTATTTCTTAACTTTGCATCATCCAGAGACTGTGAGCAGAGCCTGTATTAGATTGTAAAGTGACAAGTCAGTCCCCTCCTGCTCATTCTACTGAAGGCAGCCCTGGGCTGGTTCCCTAAATTCTAGGATGATAGAAGTGGAGCAATACAATTCTTCATTCTGATATAACTTCTGGTTGCTAAAGTTTGTTATTTCCATTCCAGACCAATGCATATGCATATCACCCCTGTATCCTGCCACCGTGCTAAATTGCACACATCACTCTTAACATTCACCTATGGCTGCTATTGCTATTATAACTCACACATAAGAGGTCAGTATCAGCAACACAGAACAAATGCAATAATGTTTGGACAGAACCCTCAAATCTTGTAAGATTGTTTTTCACAATAAAATCTTAATTGCTGGAGAAGGGGGAAAATTGGGGCAGTCAGAGGGAAAGGAAGGAATAAAGTATCCCAGAGGAGAGAATGGTTAAACAGGAGCATGTCATAAAGAATATTGCTATCTATAGGGAGCATGTTTCTTTCCATAGTTAGGTCATGCCTGCAATAGTTGGTCTGAGGCTGTTAACATGAAAAATGTGAGGTATCAGATCTTCTTCCCCAGAAATTGCACATGTTTAAATATAAGAAAAATAGCAGAACTTCAGTTAGACTACGACCACTTTGGACAGCACTGGCTCAATGGACTTGAAACAGAGATGAGCACTTATCCCTAGCATTTTACTGTGAAGTAAAATCTGCAGGAACTCCTTTATCTTTCTTTATCTATCTGCAAATCATTGCATACACCAAAATCATAGTTTGGTTTTGCTAGTTGGTTTTAGAAATATATAATCTTCCTGGACCCTTAGTAATTTGAATTTTGATTTTTAATATTGTCTCAGTCAATTGATTATGAATTTCATTTACTGTAGTTACCATGAATTTGTCAAATTTCTCCTTTTAAAGAATCATATCAATGAGTTACATCCACCAGTTCCTTTAGCCTACCCTAAATTTATTCTTGAATGGTCCCAAGTTCTAGTCCTGGTTTTCAAACCTGGATCCCCATATGATTCTGGATTATAAATTGTATCAACTTTATCCTTGGTGACTGGAAGTCTCAGGAAGACAAAGGTAGACTTCTCAGTCTAGAAGCTTTTGAATGGTATTTTCAGCCAACCACATCTGAGCACCAAAATCTGACAAATGCCAATCTGCAAAGTTCTAAGTTATTTCAGGTATAGCTTGTCTTTCTCCTGTAATGAAAACTACATAAACTGTCTTGGAGACAGATGCTGATCATAAGAACTTCCATAAGTTTGTTTTCAATTTAGAAGAGAAGGTATCTTATAATTTAATAGAAAGCATACATTATTGGACCTTCATATCTTCCAGAGGGAGCTTTA